ACTCATGGTTTAGTATTTATATTTTGTATATATGGAGGAAGAAGCGATAGTAGTTTGAGGAGTTATAGAATACTCATTTGCCAACTGAAATCGATGGAAAGAGTAGCATCAAGTGTGATACACCAGTGCAAATTAATGTGGCAAAAATGTTCAAAAACAATTGATCTGGCAAAAAGATGCAACGCCCACCGTGGGGCTACCGCTGAGCTAGACGGGCTATGCTGATTGCCGTATGGAAAGGTTTCATATAAAAGCATAACTCACACAACAACAAGCAGATCAATGTAAGAGCCCAGACCACCAAAATATTTGCAAACCAGATCTCTAACCCATCATGCTTCTCCTCTGCGTAACTCACTAGTATCTTCTGGGCGAAGATCTGAAGAAGCAAACATGCAGCCTCTTTCGGCAGTGATTTTGCTCAAATGGCTTTGGGGGATCTGAATCATCCATCAGGCTCTTAAGACCAACTCTCAGATCCGATACCGTCTCCTACTTCGATGTTGCTCATCATGCTTTTTTTTATGTAATACGTAGCGTATGCTAATTCAGTAGCGTGTGAAGCTGAGTGTACTTAGACAATGGCGGATCTAGAAAAATAAGCCAGGAGAGACTTATCATCTTTCGTCCTTAGCCTCTTCTTCTAAGCTTGAATAGGTATAGATTTGTAGGAGGGGTTCCGTGGCCCGAGCAACGGTAACGCCGTAGCGGGGGGCTCGAGCCCTATAATCTGACATTGCATTGAGCGTAATTTTCGAGTAAAGGGAAAGGGACTTGATTGTCATTTGTGTACGTGTTGGAAAATTTAGACGAATGAACACAAGAGAGACAGAAAGCGCGAGAAGCTAGCTATAGCGGGTGCGCTCTGCGCTGGCCATATGCCGACGTGCCGTGGCGAACGGGCGACATCATCGTCATCGGAACTCGGAACACGGAACGTCATGCCTGCCTGCCTGCCCAGCGCTCCTCCAAGCCTCCAAGGCTCCAAGCCAGCTGCTGCCGACACCGTTTGCCCTGGCGACGAACGAATGCAAAATGATTGACTGGCCCACGTGGCTGCCCCGAGCCCGACACGTGGCGGACGACCACCTCACCACTAGTGAATCAGCAACAGATGCGTGCGTGTCAATCGTCGTATCGATGCCGGCATGCCGCATGAGCCATCGGCCATCTTAGCTAGGTCGCAGCTGATCCATCTCGTCTGATGAATACACACATGTTCTCGGCCAGCCTGCAGCAGGGACGCCCACTGGTTCGTTTTGATTCTCCCACAAACATCTCCAAATTCGTTTTAGTCTTTTTAGATACAAATAACTTTTATTAGATAACTAGATACAATGTATATTTATTATTTAGATATATAATTAAAGCTACATATACTTAAAAAAAAAACCAAAAACACTTACAGTTTTAGGATGGAGTAATTAAGTATTATTTACTTCCTCTGGTTATTGTTTTACAACAGATTCCAATCAAATCTGAAAGACTACTACAAACATCTACTATATTTAAATTTAAATCTTGTAGTATTAAGTCATGCCAGATATATAAGTAACTTTATTTATATTTGCACACATCATGAATTTGAAGAACCTTTTAGAAAAATATAAATACCCTCTCCGTCTTAGAAAGAGTACACCGCTACCTCTAAGCTAAAACAAACTATCTTTATTTGAACCAATTTTTAAAAAATACTAATATTAATGATATAGAAACAAATGGTATCAATTTTATCATCTAATATAGTTTTATAGTATATCTATTTTAGAATCTATAATTGTTGATACTATTTCTTAGAAATTTGGTTAAGCATAGATTACTTTATTTGAGAAAGAAAGAAATTACTTTATTTGAGAATGTGTACTCTTTTTAGGGGAGTGTTCTTGAAGACATTAGTGATGCATGGGTAAACGTGTAAAATGAAACATAACATGACAAATATTTTTTACCCGAGGAAAGTGAGTCTCGCTGAGTATCTTGAGTCTTTCTAAAATTCACTTTTTAAATTATTATTTAGATAATCATTGAAATATACTCTTTTTTATATCTTTTCATTCGCTAACAGCTTGTCTATATCTAATACACACTCTAGAAAGTTAATCTCACTGTGTTCTTTAACTAGCATGAAATTTGAAACATAGCATGGTAGCATTTGAAGATTTATAATTAAAAAAGCTATTAGAGAGTATTTTTCTCGAAGAATCGACGAGGAAAGATATAGAAGCTTGTCTTATATTTGTACGGATATTGTGGTAATTACGGCGTACTCGAGAGGGTCTTAGACTGTCTTCAACAACTCATGCATCACGGCATGCAAACCCAAAATGCCTACTCCAGGTTGCTTTATCGGTGGAAAACGCGGTCCAACAGATAACGCAAACGAGGGACCTATTTTTGGTGGGACGCCATGCACGACCCAAATAAGCGTTGCCTCTCTCCTCTAACCCAAATCTTTGGCGCCGGTGGGGAGAGGACGCCACCGCACGTGGGGGCCATCTGCGTGGACGTCGAGGTCGGATCCGTTGGGAAAGGGGCGCCGCCACGCCCAATCGACCGGATCCGCCCGCAGCTGACCGGAAGGGGAGAGACGGCGAGCGCGGTGCGCCCCGCCGCGTCGCAGGGTCCTGGCGAAGGAGGAGGACGAGGCGCCGGCGGGGAGCGAGGGCGCCCTCTCGCCGCCGGTTCTCGCGGCCACCGGCGCCAGGAACTTGGCAGCGGTGAAGGACGCGGCCGCACGTTGTAGAGGTCGGCGTCTAGGTAGAGGTAGTCGTCGATGGAGAGCTCGGCGATGGTGCGGACGTCCTCGCCGTACATGAAGAGCGCGAGCAGGAAGAAGGCGGGCACCAGCGTGGTGACCGGGGAGTGGCGTGCCGCGGCGAGGAGGGAGCGCGCGGAGGAGGAGAGAGAGCCCAGGAGGCCGAGGCCCCCGGTGGTGGTGGTAGTGGGTAGCGGCGGGGGGTCAGAGGCCGAGGTGGAGGTGGAGGTGGGCGGCGGGTGCTTGGCCATGGCTGCTGCGGAAGGGAGGGGGTGGTATGGTGGCGCAATACCGCGCCCAGGCTGGTGAGCTGCGGGCAAGCAGTGGGGGGATCAGTGGAGGCGATGCGGGGATAGGAGGGAGGAGGAGGTGGCTGAGGTAGAGGATGGTAGCACCGTCGTGAGCTGCTCGCGCATGGTGACGGGGCGTTGGCCAACGCCATGGCGACGAGCGGAAGGGGAAGGAGATGGGTGGGCGGTGGAGAGACCGAGGAAGAAGAGGGCTGATTTGCGTTAGCTGTTGGGGAAGATAAATTTTAGGTGCGTATCCTTTTTTCTATGCACGACTCAAACTAGAGAACGAGTGTTGTGTTTAGGTTATCATCTGTGGAGACAGTAAACGACGGGTACCTTCTCTCCTACCACTTTCGACGTGGCCCAAAGATTCACCGCGTCAAGGGTCAAGCCATGGCGCGTGTGCGCATCGCCACCGTCGGCGCCGCCCCATCACCGCGCCGACGCCCGGGATGCGGGCGGAATATATTCTGGGCCCCACGTGGAACCATCCGGAGGCAGACACGGATACACTTCCGCCTCGATCCATTGCAGCTGCAGTCTTCTGCTCTTTCCTGTAACCGTAGCGGAGCGAGCCATAAAGGAGACTACGCGGCGGCGGAGGCGGAGGCGGGGAGAGACAGACGCGCGCGGCGGAGAGCGAGCGGGGCTAGGCGACGCTCCTTCCAGTTCTCTTCTCCATGATTTCATTCTGTGAGTTGAGGGTGATCCTTTCCATCCCGTCAATTTCTGGGCTCCATTTCGGTTGCTTGTTGCGGAGATCAAATGTGTTGGTACAGCGCAGATTCATTCATCTCCTTAATTTCGCTTATTATCCGGAAACCCGCTGCTGTGGAGTGCTTGTCCAGGCTCCAAGCCCCTCTTTTCCTTGTTACTTTCCTCTTCGTGTTCTGCGAGGACAACTGACCTGATATATAAGAGTACTACTACTTCTCTCATAGACACATAGTAGCTGTAGATTTTGTTGCTTCATCGTTACGTGCTTTCAACAATTAGCCTATTCGCTCGTTAGTTTCAGCCAGGCCTTATCAGCCATAGTATAATATTTTTCTCTCACAACTAACCCATATATCTCGACTTGATATGATTTTTCTAAGTACTATGACTGTGCTGCTAGATCTATTGCCAGTTCATACATAAGATTGCTTTGCTTTCTTAGTAATCATCACATTGCACGCCACTCACCAAACTATGCTTATGATAGGGTGTCAAGTATATGTATGACTATTTCTGCTCAACTTGTGAACTATGAGCCTCAGGTAATGCCTAATTCAATAGGCTGCCTGTCAAGGTGAATGCGAACTTAGTCTATTCTTGATCAAAATTGGATCACACCTACTGTATATGGTTTGAAGCAATTCTGAGCTAATGTGTTTGTTACAACTTTTAAATTTTAACCGCTAATTAATGGTATAAAGCAGTACGCCTAGCATGACCTGTTGGCCTGTTGATCATGTTGGTTACATTTTGTCATATCTGTGATATTTTTCTTTATTCATGTGTTTCAATTGCAGGAGATGTTCACAGGGGCTATGTAGATTTTCCAAACTCATGTGATGGATCTTGTCCCTAATGTTCTGATCAAGAGTGTTGCCATGGCTGCAAGGCTATAGTTTCTTATAGTCCACTTCCACGATTCAAGATTAAAATATTGTTTGGCCCATCCACTGTGAGAATGGTCTGGTTGCAAGACCAACTCGAAATGCACAAGCTCCACTGGTACAGGAGAGCCCCTACTCCATCAGAGTTCTGGATACCACTTGCTGCTTGGTTCACTGTTGGCCTAGTTGGTCTTTGGACATTTTTCACTTCTTTTCATTGTGGGTATGAAAGATCAGTTTAAGCTGGATGAAAATAATTGCCAGATCGAAGAGGAAGAATTTTGAAAGAAACCATGAGGTTCCTACTGCTGAACATGTTTGGAACACAGAATCTTTGATTCGTGCAAAAGGATGAAGTGCTGTGTATGCTTGGAATCTATCTCACCTGCTCAGCCCCTTGGGCAGATGATGACTTCAGAAAATATGGTTCACCGTTGCAATGTTTGTGGTGCGGCTGCACACATAATATGCTCTTCGAATTCTCAGAAAGACTGCAAATGCATCTCAATGTTCGGGTCCAAACATGTGGTCCATCTATGGACTGTACTCTGGACAGATGTAGCCGACCAATCCGAAGAAGGTCAATACTGTTGTTACTGTGAGGAGATATGCAGTGAATCTTTTCTGGGAGGTCCTCCCATATACTGCTGCATGTGGTGCCAAAGATTGGTGCATGCTGAGTGCCAGTCGGCCATGGCTACTGAAACAGGTGACATTTGTGACCTTGGTCCCTTCAGGCGCCTTATTCTGTCGCCACTTTTTGTCCAGGCCATTAGCAAACCTGGTGGCATCTTGAGTTCTATAACTCATGGAGCAAATGAGTTTGCATCCACTGTGCGGGGGCGTTTAAACCGAACTAAAAAGGAGAAACATCACAACAGATTTCCATCTGACAGTAATGATGATTCATCAAGTGATACCACATTGAACTCAAACCAGAGGGCTGGGGAATTAAAAGCAACTGGGGGCAGTGCTCAAAGGAGTCCTGAGAATGAGCATTATAGCAGTGAGAGTGATGGTAGAGAACTCATATCAGAGCCCAGAAGGCTTGGCAACAATGAGACTGGTGAAGTTAAACTTAAGTACGCATTGTCTGAATTGCCTGCTGATTCCAGACCTCTTTTAGTTTTTATCAACAAGAGAAGTGGGGCTCAGCGTGGAGATCTTCTCAAGCACAAGCTACATTTTCTTTTGAATCCGGTGCAGGTCATGATACTTCTCACACTAAACTTACTTAAAGTCAAGTCACTTCTCATCTAGTCAACTTGTCACGGTACCCATCAATTTTGTAGAATATGCCCATTGCATTACGAGTTGGGTTCATGCATTTACTTAAACTCATCCATGTGATGCTGGATCACTTCATATTATGTAAGGAAATCATCATAATCAATCTTATCTCATGTTTCTAGCGCCATCCACACTAAAAAAAAACCATTTTCTCTGTGATAATCAGTAGTTAGTAGTAACCGCATGGTCAAGAGGAGTGCTTAAGCCTAGATTTTTTTTGGACGTTAGGTAATTCAGTTAGTATAATTTATTGCATCTACAGTGAGATACAACAGTGTAAAAAATTGAACCCTTTGAAGAAGCAGCACCATTTGCCTACATCTGGTGCTGTTGGTGTTGGATCATGTGTAAGAGACTTATTTTCCATCCTACTAGAAACATAGGCACACAGTTGAACAGAAGCTGTCAATGTGCTTGAAAATTTGAAGGCTAGTGTTCTGTTTTTGGTTCCGGGTTGGGCCTCTAGGCTGTGGTCTTTCTGCGGGTAGTGATCTTTCACTAGCTGATGTGTTTTTGGTCCAATCTGTCTTGTAAGGTCATGGAGTACGGGGCTGTGGTCTTTCTGCAGGTAGGGGGTCTTTCACTAGTTCATGTGTTTTTGGTCTGACCTGGCTTGTAAGGTCATGGAGTACAGTCGTGTAGACCCTGTCGAAGGGGTTTGCCTGTAATCCTTTTGTGTTTTATTCTTCTAATATAATTCGCAAAGCTTGCGACCTTTAAAAAAAAAAAGTGTTCTTTTTCATATATATTTCAGCGCCCCACCTTAGCAAATGCTTTTCAGATATTTATGATTTCTGTGTTTCTAATGTTCCATATTATTCATCTAGGTTTTTGAATTGAGTTCTTCACAAGGGCCAGAAACAAGATTATTTTTGTTCAGAAAGGTACCACATTTCAGAATACTTGTGTGTGGTGGCGATGGTACTGTTGGTTGGGTTCTTGACGTGATAGATAAGCAAAATTATGAATCACCTCCACCTATTGCAATTCTTCCAGCTGGCACTGGCAATGATCTTTCGAGAGTTTTATCATGGGAGGTGGCCTAGGTGCTGTTGAGAAGCAAGGTGGCCTCTGCACAGTTTTACATGACATAGAGCATGCAGCAGTCACTATCCTGGATAGATGGAAGGTGACAGTAGAAGATAAGGAATCAAAGAATGTGCTTCTAGTAAAGTACATGAACAACTATCTAGGTAGGTATATAGAAACTTAATTTATCGGCACCCCTTGTTGAATAACCTTAGTTTACTATGGTGACAGGTATCGGTTGTGATGCAAAAGTCGCCCTTGACATTCATAATCTCCGTGAAGAAAGTCCTGAGAAATTCTACAGTCAGGTAATGTTTGTATCCATCATAAGCAGTATACAGTAGTTGGCCCTTGATTTTAATGTTTAGCTTCTTTACAAATTTGTACTTGTGAAATAGTCCCTTTTCGCATTTATTGTTCAAGAAACAAAGGTAGTACAGCTGGATGTTACTGGAAATGTAGTGTTTATTTCGATGTTATCTGCTGTAAGTTGGGCTTGTGGATGCTTGCAGCTCAACATTGATTATGTAAATTGGTCAATCAGGGCAAAATTGAGTCAAAATTAGTCTTCCAGCGTCCCTTCAGTGCCTATACTCATAGATACTTTTTATCTTTATTCAATTCTGGACTTTACTATTACCATCTATTCTATATGCTTTTCCATCACCATGCATGCTTTCCCTCTTTGCATTAGCACCTCCATACCTTAGTTTGAGCTGTGTTTGACATAGAGTTGGATATGATGTGGTCTGCATGGTGCCATGGTGGTACACATCATGAATTCATACCTTGAGTTAGTTCTATATTAACAATGCAGAAGTGGGTAATTTAGAAGCATATATTGGAGGACTTTGGATATTTTTTTAATGACAGGTAGGTCATTTTGATGTATATCTATGAGCTTGCTTTTGGTTATTTTTAACAACGTCAAAAGTGGGCAACTTAGATGCAAATTTAGGGAGTAGTTCAGATCATCTTTCATAATGACATAGGTGAGTAATTTAGACAAAGATTTAGGGGATTTACTTTAGGTTATTTTTCATAATGGCAGATTTGGTAATTTTGATATAGATTTAGGGGTTTACTTTTAGACTGTTTTTCATAATGGGCAAAGCTGACAATATTTTATAGAAAACAAAATATGTCTGATGGCTATTATTGTCGCTGATGATTAGAGTTTACTGAATTGATGGCTGAATGTTTTTGTTTCACGTGAGAAGAATTCATATGGTTTAGCATGTCTTTGTGATGACTAATGTGGAGGCTTTCCCGAGTCTTTAATTCCTAATACTAAGATGGATCTTATGTTTCTTTCTTGGGTTTCATCAGTTCTTAAATAAGGTGCTATATGCGAGGGAAGGAGCCAAGAGCATCATTGACAGGGCGTTTGTGGACTTACCATGGCAAGTTCGGTTAGAAGTTGATGGCACTGAGATTGAGATACCAGAGGTTGTGTGAGTGAATTGTGATTATTACATATAGACCACCTGCCTTACTACTTGGTTGTACTAAACTGACTATGGATCCTTCAGGACTCAGAAGGTGTGCTTGTTGCAAACATCCCGAGCTACATGGGAGGGGTTGACCTGTGGCAAAATGAGGGTGAGAATCCTGAAAATTTTGATCCACAGTCAATCCATGACAAGATGCTCGAAGTGGTTAGCATTACAGGAGCATGGCATCTGGGAACACTCCAGGTAAGTGATCATCATAGTTCAGAAACCTTTGAAGGACGAAGTAAATGGTGGAGACTCAAAGAAAGAATTAATAAACTGCATCTAGGTTGGACTTTCTCGGGCACGGAGGATCGCACAAGGTCAGTCGATCAAGATACAAATGTTTGCTCCTTTCCCTGTTCAAGTGGATGGCGAACCTTGGGTCCAGCAGCCCTGCACGCTTAAGATATCCCATCACGGACAGGTTTATAGTCTGATCTTACTCTTGCATGTGCTTGGCATCATGCAAATCACTTATAAGGTGAATTGATGATTGATTGACAGAGTGTTGTTGGTTTCCTTGCTCTTGTTTTCTTTTCATTGTACTCAGGCTTTTATGTTGAGGAGGGCAATTGAAGAGCCACTTGGTCATGCAGCTGCTATGATCACCGACGTGCTCGAGCATGCCGAATCCAGCCGTGTAATCACTGCTTCGCAGAAGAAATCCCTCCTCCAAGAAATGGCTCTACGGCTGTCATGAAGCAAACACCGATCATTCGGACGTCGCAGAAGAAAGTTTCCTGTGCTGTGCCCTTGCTTGCACTGCGGAGAGGTTCCTATTGGCAGCGATGATTATTAGGAGGATCTGTGATCTCAACAGGAGCGCTCGATCATGTTTGTCGCAGCAGATACAGCCCGGGGGACGTGTCCACGTGTACAGAGAGTTTCTGGTTATGTTCACATTTTGAAAATAGCAAGGCAATGTTGTGTACAGGTATGTGTGCTGTGTAGAGCTCGGGTATGCCCCCTGCCTTGTTCTGTGCAAATCTAGTTACGCCTGCCATTCTGTGTTCGGTTGGCTGTATGGATTTTGGGGGCTGTGTTGTGTCGCTGCCACTTCGGGTGGTGCCCCACGTGTAAATGAGATGGGCTTGAATGCTTGGTTGTAATGAAGTTGTACAAATAAGTGGCACGTCAAAGTGAATAGTGATGTCGTGATCGAATATGCTCGCTCCAGTTCACAGAATGTAACGCATCGACTTGAGCTGCCGTGCCAGGGCGATGCGGCGATGCCCATACGAATGCGATGCATGGTCGCATTTCGGCTGTTCCACAGATGCCTTTGGGATGTGCCATTATCTTTCATCAGCTGCTTGCTTAAATGAGATCATCTATGCAGGCCCGTTGTACCTAGGAATCTAGGATTGTGTGGCTCTCGAGCGAAACAAAAATGAGGCCCTATATTTTAACAAAAAAAATAAGATATATAATCAAAATATATTTAGCTTCCATTCTATTACGACATATATTTTTCAATGATAAGAACTATAATAGGTATTTAATCCTCTCACCAAACCACTAGACAAGAACGCACACTATTATCCTGATGATTGAGAAGTTAGATAAGAATGAGATTGAGAAGGCATGTGACAACAGAAGATGTTCCAGGAAAGTTGAACTATAAAAGATCAATGATCATTACATAGCATAAAAAGTTAAAAACTAAGTTATCGCATTAAATAATACTGCAAAAAAATAATGAATTTCAGGACCTCAAGTGTATTATCTCCCATTGTGGTATCATGGAAATTATTAAAATCCTTGAAAGGGTGGAGACTAAGAATACAACCTCATGATAATGTGTATATCCGTGTCTTGGTCGGAAGAATGGTGGTGACAATTAATATTATCGTCCCTCTGTTATTTACTATGTATCTAGACATGGTACATATATAAATATATAATAAAAGTTATGTATTTTACTATGTATCACACCATTTACTTCATCCCAGTTATATGTTTCCTCTTGTTTGATCTTCTCTTTATTCAATGTTTTTGTCTTCCGGATAAAACAATTTTAACAATTACAACATGCTAGATGTTGTTGGGTGGTAGCAGCACACCAAGCCAAGGGCGGTAGATGATTTACTTTTTCTCATGAAATAAACTTTGGTAAATGGGGATTTAGAAATCGACGCACGATAAAGAGGATTAAAAACATTGTATATAATTTCTCTATATGCCATGGAACATCTTTAGTTTGAGAGGGTTTGCACCCTTATAAAATTTAAATTTTAGCATTTTTGTATTAGGTATACTTTTTTAATATGGGAATACCTAACTTCTCAATCCTGCCTCCACTTCTAAGCAAATGGAGTGCATGAGCAGGCGACTAGCCGGTCGGGGGGAGGCGATACGTGCTAGAGCCACCACGCCTCCTCCTCCTGCTAGCGCCAACGCTACCACCTCCTTAGGTCCGGGCAGTATAAGTTTGAGCGTCGTCCTCAGGCTTGAGATACGCTGCTCCAACCGTTCGCCCCATATCGCTGACAATGAGATAGGACTATAGGAACAAGACCGACGCATGCAGGGCCTATTTGGAATTTTGGATGCAACCCTACCAGACATTGCCTACCAAGCAAATACATTATGGCCCCGTGCGTTCAAAATCAGACGCCTGTGATCGATGTCTGGTCGAGATAGGTTTGACCAGCTCCCATCAAATAGGCCCGCAGTGCCTATATATAAGGAGGGTATTTTTGTCCAATACCAACTATCACATAAGGCTCGTCCCCCCTCCCCCCACCACCCCTCACACACACAAAAAAAAAAACTATCCTATAAGGCTCTCCAACTCATTTTAATATAGCTTGCTAATAGGAGAGACGGAAATGTTAAATGGGTAAAGTAATTTAGATAATAGGACCTAGCGGCAAATAGCGAACTCTGAAATTTAAAGAAAACACACCGTCGATTTAATAAAACATATAAAGATTATTGGCCCGGAACCTTTGCGGCTTTACCCGTGGGCTCTGCCTTTCCCCCCGCATACGACTCTCTCTCTCTCTCTTGTGGTTCTCCCTAGTCCCGTGCTGCTCGAGTGCGCTGTCTCCGTCTCTAGTGGCGACAACTGGGCGACCGCCGCCGCCGCCGCCCTACGCGAGGTGCCCAGATCTCCATTTTCGGGCCCTTCGCCGGTGACGAGCACCCACCAGGTTCGCCCACCCCTTCTCTTCCGTTCCTGTATGTCGAAACCGAGCACCCAAACCCTAGCTTGTTTGTATTTGGAACTGATCTGATCCGATTACGAGTGTAGTATATATGTCTTGTGCCTACAAATTTCGATTTTTATATTTTTTGCAAAAAACTATTGGGTGTACATGTGTACACCCATGTCCTTCACTGGGTCCGCCACTGGTTAAGAGACAGGGATTCTGTTAGTGATCATACCTCTGTGTGCGATTCTAGCTGTCGGTAGTGCTGCTGAGGTGGGAATGTCCTCGTTACATGTGGTCGTTGCAGACAAACGGTTTTCATGGTCTTTTTATGCCATGAAATGAAATTCCAAGTGGACTAAATAAGGAGGAATGATCGTTACTGAATTCCGTGTTCCCTAAGAAAATTATCGAAATACTGGTAGAATTCAGTGTAAGATCATGCTTGGTCACGTGTATGCTCATTCTATATGCATATATAGCTTGGGCATGCTAAATATTTTCCTTCCAAGTTTTTTTTCTATATGCGTAGCAAAGCTTTTATTTCTTTCAACCTTCATGGGTGTACAGTATGGTGGTTTATCATCTACACACGAAACATCCTTGGGAATACTAAATGTTTTCCTTTTTTAATACATATATAGCTTTTGTAATTCAAATTCTTAGGTTCGATGATTAAAATTAGAAAGTCCTTTATATGCGATTGTTCTGTTTTTGGTGTTTTGATCGAATATGCACCGTAGTGGAGTGCACTGAACTGTCGACATGACATTGGCACTGGAAACTCTCGTATCCATTGTACCCTGAAACTAAACATACCGTTTTTGGGAGATGGGATGGGATATTTGACCTCGCCGATGAAGTTGGTGCTACAGTGGAGATGCAGTGGCATAGGCATTGGCAGAGGAACATTTGTGGATATAAATGGTCACGATATGTTGCTCATCTCTCTGGTGAAGTTTGTGCAAGAGTTGTTGACTGTGGTTACATTGATGGGCACAGGCAAACTTGGTGATCTACTACCTATTCTGACTATTGTTTTGAGCACCAGGCCTCTTGTTGATGGGTTGATGGCAATTGAGGGTGTGCAGGAAGTCACCAGTTGTTGAGGGTAAATAGGGTCGACTCGTGGTTCTAGTCCATGAGGTAAATAAGCCAAGCTGTTTTCAGACAGCGGAGATTGAAATCAGATGTAGTATCGTTGGAAGATCAGTGGTTCGGATTTTGTAGTTCTTTTTTGCAGTACCATGCTGTGGGTGCGAGTGTAGGTGTGGGTGTGACTGAAGTGAGGAACCACATGATGGCAGGAAGGGAAAACTCATGGTGTTACTGTACGAGACTTGATAGTAGTGAATTGATCTGTAGCATGTTGACCAAACTGCTTATTGCTCATTTTGTTTTATTTTTACTTTTAGTTGTAGAATTGTGAAAGGCGGGCCTGGTGCAAGCGGTAGAGAGTCTTACCACTTTGTGACCGGAAGGTCCTGGTTCGAGTCGAGGTCTTCTCGCATTGCCTGAAGCGAGGTAAGGCTTGCCCGACACCCTTCCCCAAACCCCTTACATGCAGCGGGAGGTCTTTCTGACTCGGGTACGCCCTTTTGTAGAATTGTAACATTCACTTAAGGGGCATTAAAGGACTTTCTATTGGTTTTCCTTCTCTATGTAGCCAAAATAATTTGCATGTCATAGGCAGTTCCATAGTTGAATAGTTCTTGGATGTTCATTTAATTGTATGTTTTGTCTTTTTGGCAGGATAATATGTTGTTCACGCATGAGACAAATGCTGACCAGTTTGATCTTCTTTCTTATGGTAATCTAAGGGGACTAGAGGCTAGTAGAAATTCTGAGGAATCCAATTTTGGAAATGACTTAAAGGATGGTTCTTCAGTTTCTTCTGAGAACTTCAGCTCCTCTTGTCTGCCTGGCGAGAACTATCAATCTGCCACAATAGATCATGAAAAACGACCTCTTTCTGATGTCAAGCCATGCCAAGTTGCTTGCAAACGTCCAAAGCAAACAGATCACCATACCTGGTTATATTCCTTTGAGGAAGACCCTTTGACCAGTGAAGTGGGGATATCTTCTCCAGGTTTTGTACTCTCCTTTCCTTCTGTGTTCAGTGCTCTAAATAATAATAATTAATCCAGAAGATATCTAGCTCACTAGCTGCAATTTTTTCTTTTTCTTTCAGCTTTAGCTGATGGATTGGTTGAGACCAAACAACCAAATGACATTCCTGCAATTAATGGTGCCACAACCTGCAGTGGTAGTTCAGACATCCCTTGCCTTAATCATGATCAATCAGTTTTAGTGGAAAGCTTAGATGTACCTGATTGGGCGACTTCTTTCCCTGGTTATTTTGAAGACTGTGGGCCAGTTGCTACATATAACCATGTTGATGACATCGGTTCGCCTGTTCATGAGTACCTCCCTAGAAAGGTTGTGCCAATTGGACCTGAGCACCAGGCTGACATTCCAGAATGGAAGCCCCGAATCTCTATGATTGTACCTGGTGCTTCTGAGTTTTGTGCTGATCTGAATTGTAGTTCTGCTTCCACTTCAGAGTCTGTTCCCAGAGGTGATGACTATGTAAGTGACAAGTGGATCAGGTACTGTGTTGTTCCAATGACGAGCTGCTCATCTCTTGTTGACTGGTCTGGAGACAACAAAACAGATTGTAACTGTAGTGACGAGGGTTCTATGAGGTGTTCCAGACAGCATATTATTGAAGCAAGGGATAGCCTCAAAATGAGCTTGGGACAGGACATGTTTTGTGAGTTAGGTCTTTGTGAAATGGGAGAGGATGTTGCTCAGAGATGGACTGATGAGGAGGAGAAGCTCTTCCAAAGAGTTGTTTTCTTAAATCCTGTCTCCTTGGGCAAGAACTTTTGGGATCACCTTCCAGATGCATTTCCTGGTAAAACTAGCCAGGAGCTTATTAGCTACTATTTTAATGTTTTCATGCTCAGGAAAAGGGCCCAGCAGAACAGGTCAGACGTGTTGCGTGTGGACAGTGATGATGATGAACTGCATGGTGAACCTCTAGTTGAGCGGGAGGAAGGGGATCCTGCAGTTGAGTCCTCTATACATGAACATTTTGTCAGCAATTCTCTGCCCATGGACGATGACGATAAAGAGTTTGAAGGAGCACAGTTTGATGGATCTTTGTGTGAGAAGTCAGTATACAGTGCAGTTGAGTGCAGACATCTACCAAATCAGATGCCTGCGGATTCAAATACGGTGAACACTGCACAAGATGTTTATGACCAAGATAATGGAGCTCAGTGTACAGAGTTTCACATGTCACTGCCAAATGATACTTCAAACAATCTTGGTGATCAAATTGCATCTGTGTAGGAGATGTTGTTTGGACAAGACTCTTTGGCTGTCGACATGTCCAAGACCTTGAACAACAATCAAATGGATAGCCGAGACATATTCAGTTTGAATCTGACATCTACTTCAGATGGGTGCATGGCATTGAGATGCTGTTTTGGCCATGACTCGGAGCTGTAAATTCAGCCACATCTGGAGATGATAGTTCATGAAGTTGTACATTCTTCAACTACTATGTGTTTTTTGCGGCATTTTGTTAGCACATTGGGAACCCAACTGAGCTTCAATCTGCCCCCCTCCCCCACCCCCATTCGTCAGATCAACCTTCTTGTATGTACGTTGTATTTCATTGTTGTATGTTCATTCCAGAAACTGGAATATGTAGATCGTAGAGTTGCCATTATCTGGATTTCCTGATGATTTGGCAGTGGCTTTGCACCTCCCTGGCTGTTGAAGCACGCTATCCTGCGATGGCTTTCATTTGCACCAAATCGTTTCATGCAAATAATGTGCTACCGACAGACATTAATTGAATCTATTTGATGTGGTACGTTTGTCACGATTGCATTCTTTTGTTTTAAAGATGTCCAAAATACACTAGGGTAAAGGAATGTTGGTGAGATCCATGCGTTGCTTTGTTTGCAATACTTGCACAGCATGGTCCAAAGCCTCAGATGCGTCTCAATCTCTGTTCTTCCATTCCCTATTTTGCGGCATATGTATACTTGTGGTAAAGAGTCAGATTTGTCGGTGAGGTGAGGCTATGATGGTGTGTGCACAAGACGCATGCAAGAAAAAAAAAACTTCTGGCCTTTTTGTGAAGAGTGTATCCCAAGGAAGGATACCTGTTCTGAATGTTTATCTTGCTCACTAACCTGTATTTTAATCTCTTTTAGAAAGCTTGCTCACTAACTAATCAACCATCCCAATAATTACAATCTACAAGCATATGCCATAGTGGAGCTACTCTTTAATCCCTTTTCACGAAGGTAATGATACACTGAACAAACAACCAAAAAGGTCAGAATAAAGAGAAGTTCGCCAACTTATTTTGCCAATGCCTCCCCATTTTCAGATTTTTACAGGCGACTAACCCTTTGGAGCACAATACCAGTGACGAGGAGCGAAGAGATCTGATTTCTCAACACACACATATTTGTTCCAGATCCGGATCTCTGCAAAAATGGTCTGGCTCGCTTGCTTCGGCTGGAGGTCGAGACATGCATGTGTTCTTTCGATGAGCACAGGTCTGTTACTCTGCTGCAACCATAAACAGGGAGCCCCCTTTCACACCTCTCAAATCTCATAAAATAGTTAGTATTTTTCTTTTTCTGATATCTTATTCTAGACTAGAGATACCTACCATTCTGTGAAAGGCTGCTCATTTCTTCGGGTATTGGTGTTTCTGGCGTGTCTGCCATCCCAAGGAAGTCATCTTGTGCTATGATGCTAGTTCTCCAGGCTCTGCACATTAGCATCATCCAGGGGCATCTCATGCAACACAATTCTGGAGTATTTGCCAACGAGTTTTTCAAGCTTTTTTTTTTACTAAATTTGAAAGAAATTGTATTGAAAAGTAATCTCTATGGAGTTAGAGACGCATCAATTTACGTCAAAGGTCCTAGATACATAACCGCTCAAAATATAATCTTACTGCCTTCCGTAGAAATCTTTGATACGACACAACTTATAGCTAATTTGACAGATCAAGAGAGATTGCAGATATCAAACGGAACTCAGAAGCACGAGTTTCCCAGACGATAATCTGGAGCTGGAAGCTGGCTTCACTGCACTAATTACTGTATGTGTCTTCCTTATAAAATTAAAAAAAAATAAACATAAAGTTTCAGCAGCATCAAACATCAAAATTGTGAAGAAGAAAACATCATCACATGGCGTAGTTCCAAGATGGGATAGTGTCACAAAAGTGATATGTTCATTCCACCCATCATCTGGAATCCATGTCTGCTGAAGATCTTGAATTCTTGCTGCTGGTTGGGTCACTGCAGTTACAAACTAATCTTGTCACCCCGTGGGACTTGCAGCTCCTCACTGAACTTTATACATCAGTCTTCTCAGCAAAGGTTTTTGCTTGCTGCAGCCTCCTTTTCCATTCCTCCCATTTTGTTTCAGTTGGGTGGGTCACAATTCATGCCTTATGTATTCTTTTGCGTAAATCTTTTTAATTACAATGATGCGCAAATCTTTTGCGTATTCGAGAAAAAAAAAACAATTCATGCCTTGTGTCAGGTGTTTGTGTCACATAAAAAGAAAGGGAGAAATGAAGAGATGGAAAGGGAGAGGTGAATTGACCTACTTGTTGCTCCAATTTTTGCCTAATTAAACTAAACCACCAGTATCATGAGAATGCATTCCTTGTGTCAGTACGCTGCCACTGCCTACCCGAATGCTAGGTCAGTAAAAAGCTGCAGTAAAGGCTAGAGCGGCAACAAAGCAAAAAATTGAGCAGATTAATATCAACCTTGAAAGCATTCACTTGACTCTATAAACTTAAGAAATGCAATGCTGAGCTAAATTGAAAATCTTTCATTGAATCATCTCAGGTTCAGCAGTTTAAGATCATGAGATGCTTATTACTCTCTGTAAAGAAGCTGAAAAACAAAACAACAAAAAGGACTAGTAAAAGAATGACTTTAGAAAATGTAGGTGAAATCTTGATGAACCCATGAAGACTAGCAATCATGGTTCATCTCACCCAAGCAAGATCATATGTAACTTGAAGCTCCAAAGAATCAATTGAATCTGAATCTGTAGTTCTGTAGTCTGTACATACCACATCCATCCTCTCCCTGAAAATCAAGATTCGAAGCAGCCATACTTCAATCCTCAACTCCTGGAGCTGGCAGATTGAGATCAAGAAATCCATCAGAGACCAGAGGCTGCTCATCGTCACCAATGCCATCGTCTTCGACAGCATGTGCGCGCTCATAGAGCTCACCGGCGATCGAGTGTGACCGCTTGTGTCCACCGAGCGCCTGCCCCGAGCCAAACACCCTGAAACAGATGGGGCACTCGAATTTGATCGCCTTGTGCGGCTTTGCCTTCAAGGCCACCACCGCAGTGGGAGCGATGTCAGCGCCGTAGTTCGGGTCCGGCGACGCCGTGCTAAACGAGGAGGTGTTGGTCTCGACGCTTGGCTCCGGTTGGTGGTCGACGACGGCCTTGGCGATGCTGCAGTTACTGTTGATCCGCTTGTGGCTGGCGCGGTGGCCGCCGAGTGCTTGGTACGACTGGAACGCCCTCCCGCACCCAGGGCACTCGTACCGGCCCCGCTTCTCGTCGCCGACGAGGCTGCGATTAGGCTTCGTCTTGTTGATCTTGGTGCCGATGGAGGCGTCGTCGTTGGAGTCGGCGTCGTGGTGGTGGTACTGGTACCGATAGTCTCGCCTCGTGATGTCCTCTTCCGGCGAGTACTCGGCGCCCGTAGCCGCGGAGCACCGCCGATGGTCTATGATGTCGCGCGACAGCATGATGAGGCAGAGCGCGACGTCCTCCGGCTCCTTGTCGAAGGCAGGCGGCGGCGCCGGGGCCGGCACGCGCATGGAGCGCCGCCTCCGCCTCGGCGGTGGCATCAGGCCGGAAGCCGGCTCCGTCGGGATCATCAGCACAGCGCCCTCCTGCTCCCGACCCCGCTCCAGTTCCAGCTCCACGCCACCGCCTCGCGCACGGTGGCGCTCGCGGTCCACGTCCACCATCGGCGCGCACGGCGAGAGCAGCTCACCGCTGCCACCGCCGTCGCAGTCGTTGAGGCTCGAGAGGCGTCGCGTCTTCTTCGGGTTCTCCCTCAGCCCGTAACCCCCGGCGCCCGGAGGCGTCACGCAATCAAAGCCACGCCGTTGGTGGTGCTCCTCGCCGCCGCCGTCGTCACCGTCGTCGTCGTCCAGTGCCGTCTCCACCTCGGCCAGGGAATGCGAGCGCATGTGGCCGCCCAGCGAGCGGCCGCAGGGGAAGCCCTTCCGGCACACCTTGCAGCTGTGCCGAGTGGCGCTGCTAATAAGCACAGCCACATCCCCCATGGTATGCATGGTTGAGGATGGATCGTCGATCAAGGTAAAGAATTAAAGCAGATTAATTTGATCGCATCGGCGGCGGATCAAGATTGATGATCAGCCAAGAAAGCTAGCTGCATACTTTCCAAAAAAAAAAATCTAGCTGCAAGTAGCTAGGCAAGGGTGGAAGTGGGTGGAAGGGGAGAAGAGGTCAAGTGAAGAAGAAGAGATTGGAGGAGGCCGGGATCCATGAAATGCAGCCCCCGCGCGCGAATGATCGATGAGCTTGCGAGAGGAAGCTGCTGGGTGTGTGTGACGGACGAGCAGCTAAAGTAGCAGTAGATGGGAGGAGGGGAGGAAGGCAGCCGAAGGGTGGGGGAGGAGGAGGTCATGCTGCATATGCGCGGTTGCTTGGGCAGGAGAAATCTCAGCTCGGCATGCAACCAAGCAAGCAAAATTAGCAAACGGACTCCGGAGAGAGAAAACAAATCACCTCCTGTGCTTTTTTTAAGCCTCTCGTCCAGTACAGCCGTAGTTTCTTGTTCATGCACGAACGCATACCCACACTGTCCACACACACCACGAGTATACATCTACAACTATATACAGATCTGAAGACCACGTCCTTCTATAGATCACCAGGACTATCATGGCTTCACAGACGACGAACGCATCATAATCTCTTCATGGCTCTAGCTCCACGTGATAGAGGTTGCAGACGAAAATGGGGAATAAATCTCTGAGGTGAGGCCCCTCGGTGGCTTCTGAGAATCAAACCCATGATTAGAGATGAAAAGGCCGAGATATATCTCGTACTATCCTACATTGGTTTTTACATATGACTGCTCGAGAATATGTATTTTCGAACAAATTTAAAATCCGTATTTGCATATAAGATAGCCTTAGAAAAATCATATCTTCCTTATATGATGTCGAGTGGAGATACTTTTCTATAAAAGTTGTAGCATTTGTTAATTAATTATTATATAATTAGTTATGCACTTGTTAATTGTTATGCACTTAGTCCTATGGGTCGGCATTCCGTATTATTTTTTCGTAAATCGACCTGTTCGACATAATTCTGCTCTCATTAATTCGTTTTCAAAATTCTCGATATTCTGTAACTTCGTGTTTATTTTTGTGTCCGGCTTTACTATTTTTATTTTTGTTTTTGTATTTAAATGTAGAAGTAGAAAACAGCTGAGAAGTTTTTTTTTACCATTTTCGTTCGTTTTGACCCCTTCCAAGACCGGCCGCTCGTACCACTGCGAGCGTACAAACCGCTATGCTCGGTCTTCAAATCACCTCCTGTGTTGTTGTGTGGCAATATAATACAAGCTAACGGATGGGAACGACGGACGGAGTGCCGTGTCTGGCCCGGGACGACCAACTGGGCTTCTTTGCCAACTGTCGGGCCGATTTCCCAATGAGCCCACTCCAGACATCATGGTCGCCACATGAAATTAATTCACAGACGTTTTTTCATGCAGGTCTCACAATTTGAAACCCAAAACATCTCCCACCGAGCGCCACTTGAAGGCCCAAACATCTTACAGAGCTTATATCATCTTTTTCTTTTCTTTTCACATCACACCATCATTATAAAAAAGCATATTTTTTAGCAAAACTCCCCTCTATAATAATCATTTGATCTAGACGTAATCTAATTCTTCCATCCTTCGGATGATGTAAGATTTCTAAGATCTTGATACTCGGGAAGTTACGATTTTACCCTTTGTTTGTTTAAGTCACGTTATTTTACATCTACCGCTTTTTGTTTGTTTAAGTCACATTATTTTATATTTGCCGATTCAAGTACAATCTTACATCACTAATAAAATCCTAATCCCTCATGTTGTCTATACGTGAACAATCTTATATTATTGAAGTCGTATTTTGTCATGTTTACATTATTGCATGGTCATGGATTCTTTTTAGGTCTGAAAAATGTATGAAATCACTGTGTAGAGCATCGCCTGGTCCACAGTCCCACTTTAGATTTTTTTGCCCTAGGAATAAGTGACATCAGTTCCACTAGGCTAGTGCCACTTATTCGTATAATTTTGTAAATTTGTTTAACATTTTGTAGATTCAATAAATAATTCATTATCATATTTTTGTATTTAAAGAAAAAATTGATGATATACATGAATTAACATATCAAGAATTCAACTAATATTCCCATTGCATTTGAAATAATTTTCATAAACATGTGGGTGTTGCACGAGCATATTTGCTAGTCTAGATAAAGAAACAATGCATGACAAACTTGCAAGATGCGCTTCTTGTTGGGATAAAAGGTTAGCAATTTTCACAATTCACAATTAATCCCTCACCATATGATGAATAATGAGGAGAACATCTACCATTAGAACAACATCAGAAATTTAACAAATCACATGCACAATTGACATAATGATTTATGTGGAAAACCTCCTCAAATTAAGTGAGGAGTAAAAATCATGGGACCTACTGGCCCACTCCAAGTTTCCACTATAATCAACGATGGGTACAATGTGTCTTCTCTAAGGAATCTAGAGGATTACAGCAACAACAAAACATTCATTAAGTTGCAAACTTGGCATCAACTACAACCATAACCTTCTAGCAAGAGAAATAACAGCACCAAACAGAGGTCACAAATTTTGTCCCTTTGGTAATTAGTTCATATACCAAACAGAGAAGCCACATATTTTTTACTCCCTCGGTAATCAGTTCATATCTCACCACAAAATATAGCTCCATTGGGCACAAATTTTGGTAGACATTTAAATCCATGAGTCCCCTAACCACTGACCAAGTTTCAGCTCAATTGGACACTGTTTCACCACCCAAATCAATCATCTACCAAAACTGCTTTGTCCTAAAACTATTGTAACTAGAAGTAATAAAACCCCTCTCAAATATGATGCCCTACTCAACCAATCCTCAAACCAATTGAACAGATCGAAGTACTCTAAGTGCAGAATGAGTTCACCAAGTCTGATGCCTATCCAAACACGTTTGAGCCTCTCATCACAAGCTTGAAGATGATCGAATGGTTCATAGCCACCAAATCTGAACAGATTTGCTCCTCCTTTTTCTTCCTATCTTCTCTCTCATGTTGTGTTGTGTATGTGTTATGCTCTCTCACACTCTTCAAGTGTAGCGGGAAGTGAAAAGGAGGCTAGGGTTTTTGTGTGTTTCTCACCACTTCTCAAGAAACGATCTCATGATTCCAACCGAAATCAACGGTGCATGAGCACTGGGCTTGTGAGATGTTTTTGCTGGGCTCCAAATCATCCTCCATGCGGAGGGATAGCCCAACACTTCTTGTCCTCACACTATTGCAAATGCGCCTAACACCATATGTAGTGTGCCCCCTCCCCCCTAAATATGACCCACATAAAAGTTTTGGGTCAACATTTGTTAGAAATCCACTTCATTTCTCGTAAGTCATATAGTCTAGCAAATGACCGCATCACAAGTCATTATCAACCACAGAAAGACTTGTTTGAACTACCCCTTCTCATACCAACCATTAAAAAGATCATAGACATCAATTGAAGTTCTTAAACCTAATACAATATAAACCGCTCTCAATTTACCCAAATCGAAGACGAGGCATTTAATGGTTCTCACTTTAAAACGCAAGAAGCTAGAACAACCCCATTTTAAAAATAAAAAATAACTTACAATGGTGTATTTAAACACCAAGTTTCTTATGAAATCTTAATTTTATGTGGCACCCCATATTTTTACTATTTTTATATAATGACAAAATCCCAAGCTATTAAGAGCTTTTGTGTAATTGTGTGTTGCATGTAATAATTAGGTCAAACCTACACCAAACCCTTATCCTTCTCACCCCACCTTCAAAAACCTTAACTCTTTCTTTTAACCCTTCAAAATAACTAATCCAATTTTATGCATTTATATAGTTTTTTCTTTACCATTTACAATACATAGACATATTTACTAGTAATATAAAAAGTAAGATTTTTTTTTGCTTAGTCAACGAACAAGCCAGAGCGAAAACCTGATAAAAACCATATACTAAAGCAAGGCCTAAAATATTGACAGTACGAACATGTTTGGGATCGTGATTACATGCTGAGTGATTGTGGAATTAGCGCGAGTGGGTGGTGAACTGGTGATGTGATGCCCGCAGTGAATCCGGAGCTTCAGCCCTACTGGCTACCTCTCCCGTCCCAGGACAAAACGCGGTCTTGGCTCGGCAGCCGAGACGAGGAGCCTTTGCCCACCTTTGCTCCCTCGCTTTCCATCCTGTTGCGCGGCCGCGACAAGCGGACGGACGGACCCTCCTCCTCTGGCCCTGGACTACTGCCTCTTCTTCCTCTTCCCTCAGTTTGACCCACCACCGCCCCCCTCTTCGGCTCTTCCCTTCCCCCACTGTCGCCGCTCCTCGTCTTCTCCTCCCTCGACTACTTTGCTTCTTGTTTCTTGTTCTTCTCCCTTGTTGATGCTCGTGGCCTCCTATGATCCGCCCTCCGCTGCGGGTTTCTTGATCCGTCCCCGGCCCAAGGCAGCGGACCCCGGCCAACGCTCCTGACAGATTCGCCCGGCCGCCGCTCCCTTCGATTCCGTCCTCCCCGTCCGCGGTAAGAAACCAATCGGCTCCTCATTCCTCGTGGCGTGCCGCTTCTTTCCTTCTATACATGTTAGTATTTATACAGCGTTGACGCCTTGACGGTAGGAAAGCCCTATTCTTGGCAGGCAGGTGTTTAGGCCCTCTGCAGCATAGCATCTGGTCCGTCCCTGGAGATGTCCGGCGTCCAGGAGCAGTTCGAGATCAAGTTCCGGCTGCCGGACGGCACCGACATCGGGCCCAGGCGCTTCCCGCCGGCGTCCACCGTCGCCACGCTCAAGGAGACCATCATCGCCCAGTGGCCCAAAGGTGAGTCCCCGTACGCACGCACGCGCTTTCCTTCCCGCTGTCGCGGTTGCAGCGCAGCGGTAGGCGCGAGAGAAAAAGAAGGTTGGTTCTTAGCACCGGCGAGTGGCGTTGGAGCTGTGCGATTGGTATTGGCGCGGCCGTCGCTTTCTTGGGTCGGATTCTGCCCCTGGAACGCCCACCATCTAGTTTGGAATCTTGAGGTGTACTGCACTGTGGCGTCGCCGTCATGGCCAATCCGTCAGTTTCAAGGAAAAATAATTGAGCCTTGTCTCTTCACGAAACCAAAAGTAATCTGTTGAGCTTCCTGCCAATCATATTTGGCTGGGGTTATTACTGCTGGAACCTATGGTGCTTAGGTTCAATTAATTTACTGGGGTTGCTCATATCCAAATAATAAATCTTCTGTACCTTTTCTGCTAAATGTGTATATGTGTGGTAAGGTGGAGTGGTCGATCCAAATTAACTATTGAGAGACAGCAATAGGAATTTAACAAATGGAGAACGTTAGTGCTGCAGAGCAGCTAGGGAAGTAGAGGAGACTTTACATTTTGAGTAAACAACAGTTCTATCTTTCCTTGGAGCAGCTGAGGAAGTACACACCCTTTAAGTGAGAGTCGTGTTATGGTTGCCTGTAATGCTCTTTTGTGTCGCTCTAGCGCCTATAGTTTGTACATGAGATCTGTCGTACTGAATATGCTTAAAATAAAATAAGTTTGTAATAACCTGATATGGATTGAACTTCATGTGTGGTAAACTGCTTGCAGTGAAGGAAAAGAGCATAAACATCTGAATGTCATGGACTTTATTACCTTTGGCTTTGCAGCGTGTATGCACCATTCTTTCTTATGAAATATCACATTTGAATGAGGGTGGTTGTAACCTCAGCATTGAACACAGAACCAGACCACATTAGAAGGATAGTGTTAGGCCAATTTGTTTGATGGCACCTTCTGTCCAAGTGCTCTTGTTTGTTTTGAAGAAATAAACAGCCAGTGTCCCTTCAGGGATAGGGCCAGGTTTGTGGTTGCCTGATTCGGCAATTAGAACTTTTCTGGATCAGTAATGAGAGGTGCTTCTGTCTACCCGGGCACAAATCTTTTGATGATTTGACGAGAGGTGCTTCAGTCTACCTGGGCACAAATTTTCTGATGATTTGAGATCAAGCTGATTAAGGAGTAAGGACCAACTGCTACACCAGTGTTAGAAAGATAATCATGATAAGAAAGGGTAGTCAGAAGTGCTAGAGATCTCATGCTCATACCACGGAGTATTGCAGTAATGCTCCACTTGTATACATCCTACACCAACTTAAGAACTGTATATATGTAAATCACTCCCTGCAAATGCTTGGCTTCTGTTTACACTGGAAGGCCAGGATGCATTAGCAACAAAGTTAGTTTTGTGTTCCCTATTAGCAGAGTGAAAAAAAAGCTTAAGCCCTTAGACTACTTATTATTTGTGGTCCGACATATGTACTTCCACTTGCAGTATCTAAAGCAACAAATGCAAGTTCTGCTATTTGATTTCTAGAGTTAACAAATATGTTCTTCATAACTATTCAACCGAAATGTCTGGTATGGCTTGTTACAAGATCATAATATATCAAGTCAACTAGATAAAATTTGTAGTGCATAATGTAAATATGCTTAAATTGAGCATGCTGTGCTTGTCTTAATCACATAATGTTCAACATCTGAGTATACATCATAATTTCAGATGTAACGGGTTTGATTAATATCACATGATCTGTTCTATGTAAGCCTGTTTTGTAGGCCAACTTTTAACAGGTGATATTTGATTGATGCTGCTAGAACTGGTGGTAAACTAGCTTATTTTGTAGTGAAATTTGACTAGACTGCTTTGATGCCAATACTCAGGAAACTATCATGACTTAGTTTTTTTGAGAAGAAGTGGTTCGTCTTGAATATAAATCTTGATTCTTCTTATTATTAGTGTCGAATATTGTGCCTGCTTGCTGTAGCAATTTGCAATTGTAAAACTGGCATATTGTCAGTTTGTGTTCAGCATAAACATATCCATTTGTTCTATAAACTCGGTTGTTAGTTCATCTTTATTGATGTACATATCCTTGGAGGCCTCCACTTCTTGCTTTATGAACTAGATATTAGATACATGTTTCTGCTTTTGAAATGTCTGACATAACCCGTCTCCATTTAAATGAATTATCTCACACCTGTTTCCTTATCCCATAGAGGTTAGTGGTAACGGAATGTGGCATCTTGTTACATGGTGAGCAAGAGTGAAGTGGCAAAAGTAGAACTTGTGAGGTTTCATGGTTCTAGTTGAATAATGGCATAGAACAAAGGGATCACACTACCAATCTGGTAAAACTCTCGAGTCAGCTGTGAATCTCGGGGACAATTTCCCAGTGTCATCCTATCCTTCTTATATTGCATCATTTGGCCTGGTGCAAGCGATAGAGTCTTACCGCCTGTGACCGGAAGGTCCCGGGTTCGAGTCGCGGTCTCCTCGCATTGCACAGGCGAGGGTAAGGCTTGCCACTGACACCCTTCCCTAGACCCCGCACAGAGCGGGAGCTCTCTGCACTGGGTACACCCTTTGTCTTGCTGGATTTCTTCATTTCCTTTAACCGATTCAACTTGAATATACTAAATATAGTGCTGTGTTTCTGTACACCACCAAACTGCATCTCAGTTTCCTTCAGTATTTCTTTTTATCTTATTATTCTAAGCTTGTTTTAGTGTTCTTACTGTTCTTTCTCAACAGATAAGGAGAAAGGTCCTAGGACTGTGAATGATCTTAAGCTTATTAATGCTGGGAAGATACTGGAGAACAACAAAACCCTATCAGAATGCAAAAGCCCAATTTGCGACTTCTCTGGGATGACAACGATGCATGTCGTCGTCCGTGCACCGACTTCAAGCAAACAGTCTGGTAATTGTTTTACCTTTGCAAGGAATATAGCATCTTCCTGTCACATCCTTGAATATAATTTGTATTTGATCTGCTGATAACAGATAAAAGAGCAGCAAAGAAAGCGAAAGATTTCAGGTGCGGTTGTGCCATTATGTGACAGCATTGTGAATAGTAGCAAAGAGAATGTGGCTATGTCAGTTTCCTCCCCACTTTTTCTGCTCTTGCTAGAGTGTTGTATTATGTTCGAGGCCCTTTCTCCTTTTCTTTCGTTTTGAAGTATCACGGGCAAGCTTCAGGAGCTGTTAAGTGCCCTTTAATCATGAGTTTGCATCAAGCACAAAATTTGAGGGCAGCTGGCTGCTAATTGCCCTTAATCTTGAGTTATGCCAAGCACACACTTTGAAGGCAGTCATTAGTGTCTAAACTACGATGTCCGTCTTATCCAATCTTCCATGGTTTCACGTTCTCTTCTATATTTATGCTACTCCGGGTGACGTGTTTAATATGCCTTCCATGCTAGATGAACTTTTTGGAACGGCATTCTAACTGATCAATTTCTATTATGTACCACTAAAACCAATTGTAATCTGGTAACTGATCTGCCATATATTAGTTTGCTGGCTATATGGTTTTGAATCACAATGATATGTTTTGTAAGTGTTGTTCATACATGAAACTAGCAGTCCTTCATTGCCTGTTGATCTCAGTTTGCATCAGTTACCATGAGGTTGTATTGACCCAAGTTGCATCAAAATGTATCAGGTGACCAGTAAAAGAATGGAACAAGTCTCTCACGCTTGCCTCTGATTTTGACACTCAACTCCAGTGCTGCCTAAGTCTGACGTCTCAACTGTCAGTGCTGTTTTGTTTTTGACCTTGGGCTCAAATTTTGTGGTTTTGGAGTGACAAGGCAGTGTTTTTTTTTCTATGTTGGGTTTTTCATTTGCCAACTAGGCCATGAATGGCAGCTGGGCCTAGTTTAACGCATCTAGGCTCCTTTGTGGAGATCATAGGGTTTCGGTGATTGATATAAACACAAATATGTGTAGCTAACATGTGTTTTGCAGGGAGTAATGCAATTGAGATAGTCACATTGAGAATGGTCACAAGTGACTTGGCCTTAAGATTTGATGATTGATTCTCTCCATCTCCAGCATATGGCTCTCTCGCTCTCGCCCCCGTGCTGTCCTTCGGCGCCTCTCCCTCCGCGTTCCTCGTCGTCCTCTCCTGCTTCCACCGCCCTCGTTGCCCCGTCGCCCTCCTCCCCCGCGTTGGCTCCAGCGTCTCTTGTCATGGCTCAGGCCCGCAAGTCTCCTGGGCCTTTGCTCGAGCTGGAGCAGGACCCTGCACTTGCGGAACTTGTGAGCGACTGAGACTTCTCTCCTGGTAAGAGGTTTCAGGTTGAAGTGCTGCACAAGTTCTCGTCCTCGGCTCATCACACTTCTTCATCACACCGGATGGTTCGTTCTTTATGCTCGTAGTTTTCCGGAGATTTCTATTTTGGCTTACAGAAGATTCAGTAGCCATGGCTCTCCATTGCTGTCTTGGCGGCTCTCCTGCTGGTTTTCATGTATCTCTTCAAAATGAGCGCCATTTTCGCTTCTCTGTTGCCTCTAAGCATGTGGGTTTGCTTGTTCGTGCTCTCAATAGAATCACGACAGACCATTTCGACATATACTTTCACATGTGGCGTGATGGAGGTGCTGATTGGAAGCGTGAATGGAGAAAGTGGGAAAAGGAAGAGAGAGATAGTTGGATCACTAAATCCAGGAAAAGAAGCAAGCGCAAGATATCTGCAAAGGTCTCTTTTGACGAGAAGTTGATTCAGGACTCTCCTGTCAGAAAGTCTCGTCCCAGAGAACTTACTTCGGTTTTTAGAGTTGGTGATGTTCTATGTCCTACTTCTCGGCTTTCATGTTTTGTTTTTGGTTCCAAGTCAACCATTCTGAATCTTGGGAAGCCATCTAAATTTTCAAGCTGCAATCAGGCCGTGTTCGAGTCACGGTCTGGTGCAAGCGGTAGAGTCTTACCGTCTGTGATCAGAAGATCCTGGGTTTGAGTCGCGGTCTCCTCGTATTGCACAGGCGAGGGTAAGGCTTGTCACTGGCACCCTTCCCCAGACCCTGCACAGAGCGGGAGCTCTCTGCACTGGGTACACCCCCAATCAGGCCGTGTTCAATGAAAGTTTATTGAATAATAGTGATGATATTACTCCTGTTTCTGATGAGATGAATACAGATGATAATACTATTATGACAAGCTATGCTAGTTCAGCTGAGCATTGTTCAAAGGATTTTCACAGTGGGCATTTTCGAGCTCCAACTCCTTCAGTTGTTTCAGTACAAAGGGTTTTTCAAAAACTCAAAGCTGATCTGAATATTAATTGCAAAAATGGCCCAGCTGCCATTTCTCTTCAATCGAAGTACACTAATGGTCAGCCTCCCCCCCAAGGTGATATTTTGAACTTCTCCCCCAGCCCCTCTACCAAACTCTGCTATCGTTGTTTAAGCTCGAAGTATTTAGCTAGTGCAGTCCCAATGAAAAAAACTGATGCGGTTTTTATAGCACAAGAAATCATCTATAGAAATTACCTTCCACAGTGAAGGTGTCTTTGTGTAATAATTATTTTCTCTTTCTCTCTCCCAACTTTATCTTCTTCCTCCAATGGAAGTGTGGCATGAGCCCCTTGAAAACTGGTGGTTTCTCCCCAATGACGATTTCATGGTTTCTTGGTGCATTGGGTCAAGAGAAGACCTGATTTCTTCATGAGAAAACCATTTCTAGGATTTTTACTTTCTTTCTTCATTAATTATGTTGCCATATCAACATTTTACCTACGTGGTAAGTTATTTAATGATGATAGAAACCATCATCAATACACCATTGGGACTGCCTTTAGAGAATGCATGGGAGAAATTAGGTGCATTTATTGTTTCAATTATGGGCACCGGGCTCGATTCTGTTATCAAAGAAAAGCTCGCCTTCAACTTAAATGGGCTGCTAAACCCTGCACGCCCCCCTTATCGCCGTGTGCACTAATGAGGGAAACGTTTCTGTTCCCCTAATTCACTGGTCGACTGGCCCCAATGTCCCCAAGGTTTCGAGTGACTCTTTGCCCTCCTGCTTTCAGCAGAAGGAAACCCTTCACGTCTCTTCCACCAGTGGAAAAACCACAGAGCTGCTGGCTCAATCTGAACCCCCACCTCCACCTGCACCTACCAATGAAGAAGATCCACATGAGCACAATGGCAACCCTCATCCTTTTGAGGGGCATGTCGCTCCTAGAGAAGTCAACAACATCATGCAGATGGCTGATCAAATGATGAATCAGTTGATTGAGGAAAATCAGATACAGACCAAGAAGCCATGGTGGAAGATAATGGTTCTGCTATCCATGGAGGGGCTGACTCCTCCATTGTTCCCTTTCTGCAGCAGGGACAAGGTGCAAACAGAGAACTCATTATCGAAAACAAGAGAGTGGTTCAAACCTCTCTGGTGATTGATACTGCTAAAAACTAATCAGACAAAACTGCAAGATTCCCAGAACCAAGATGCTAGTCTTGACCACCCAGCTCTGAAGTTCATCATTAGAAGCAATTCAAACAATCATTCAGAAAGTCATTGAGCAAAGGGAGGCTATCCTAAAATTCCTTGCTGGAGGACTTAAGCATCTAACTGCTAGTCAAAACAATAATGGGTCTTCCAAAATCATGGGTAGTTTTACTGTACCAGGCTCTTTGATTCAAGTTGATCTTACTGCCTTGGGGATCACATCACTACAGATTGCTGTAAACATCTCTGATCAGAATGCAGCCCTCTTTGTCATCCTCTTCTGAGCCATCCAAGCTGCTGTTACAAAGCTCTGATGATACTCAGCCCCACCATAATCCTACTGAAGTGCCTGCTAGAACTTCACAGATCACCAAGGTCTATTATAGAATAAGATTCAAGATCAGGAAAAGAATCCTTGGTAACCAAACTACTGAAGGAGCAAGCCAAGAAATCATTGGTAGTATTTTTGTGCATGATCAGAATGCCTCTGCTGCTGGAAATCAGATTGAGGGCTTGGGAGAAGAAAACCTTGCTGCAACAATAAAGAGAAAGCGCAGTACTACAACTCCTTTCACCACCATGAAGCTTGGAAGGAGCCCAAGATTTGCTGGAAAGCTTGATGGACATAAACCTGCCAGTGTCCTCCCTAAGAAAACTGTCACCAAAGGCAAGAGCAAGAGTAAAAAGGTCAAGCCACAGTCTCAACTCTTGGGAGACATTCTCCTCTCTCCCACTTGTCAAGCTACCGAATTTCCTGGGCATTCATCTATAGCTAAATTTGCTGAAATGGGATCCATTTTCCCCCTAATACCCATTGTTGAAATACAGAAACTGGCCATTGACTCCTGCTGCATTTCTCCTTCGGAGGTGACAGTAGAACTACTTCTAGCTCCCAGGATTGAGAAGGAGGCTGAAGTAGCTCTGGCGCCGGAAACTTTTGTGTCCTAATGAAGTGGTGGGCCTTTAGTTTGTTACCTCCCAGGGAATGCCCTGGTCTTCTATGTTGTTATAAATTGTTGCTGAACTGGTCATGCTGGATGTCGTGTGGGTTGTTTTGCAACCACAAAACCTTTGGTGGTTTAATTTGCTGGATGGCAAATTATGTTATCTCCTTGCATGCTGTGCTAATTATCTCCTGGGTTGTCTCTTTTACTCTGGCTGTTATTCAAACTGTCTAGTCTCATCTTTCAGAAAATTCTGATATTGAGTATCAAATCACCAGAACTCCTTTCCTTCATCCTTTACCCTGTGGGCTAAGGGCTACCTTTTTATTGAAATTTGTTTTCCATGGATAGTAACACAAACTTGAACAGCTCAACACCTAGTCTAAATAGAAACTGGAACATTCTCAATTGGAACATCAAAGGCATCAATTCAGAAGATAAATGTAGTGCTGTTAAAGAGAAAATTGAGGAATGTGCTTGTTCTATTTATTGTATACAAGAAACTAAGAGAGATCACTTTGACCACTCTTTGATAAAAAAGCTTGCTCCCAAACGCTTCAACAAGTTTGCTTTCTCTCCTTCTACCAGTACTTCTGGTGGTATTCTTCTTGGTTGGAACAACTCTGTTTTTTCGGGGGAGGTTATTGAGATCAACAAATTCTCCATCACTGCCAAGTTTTCCTCAATGCATAATGGTCACATCTGGTTTCTCACCACTGTCTATGGTCCTTGTCAGGGGCTGATAGAGATGCTTTTGTTCACTGGCTTAACAACCTGCAAATTGATGACCCTGTTAACTGGATGATTGTGGGGGATTTTAATTTCTATAGATCTCTTGAAGATAGAAACAAGAATGGTGGAAACATCAATGATATAATGATCTTCAATGAAATAATAAGCAACCTTGGTGTAGGGTCGAGATGGCGGACTAGAAGGGGAGGGGGGTGAATAGTTATTTCTAAAACTTAATCGCGCCGGCTAACTGAAACAAATACGAAATTAAAACTATCGGTCTAGCCAAGACTACACCCCTCTATCTAAGTTCACAAGTATCTTATAAAGATCCTAAAGAGACAACAAAGGTGCCGGGCTAGCTAGTGCTACCTATCCAACTCTAGCTTGCAAGGTCACACAAACCTATGCAACTAGTACTTCAAACAAACCGGGGAGCACCTACACAATCTAGTAAGCAAAAGCATAAAGCCACCTAAGCTCACTAGCATAGCTCAATAACAAGGCTACACAAGCCAAATTAGAGAGCGCAAATTACTTAGCTACACAAACTAAGCAATGTGACTAACAAGGTTACTCAAACCAAATTAGTCACGCAAGAGCTACTTTTATGCTACACAAACAAGAAGGTAACTAGCAAGCTACACAAGCTAACTAATTACAAGAGCGACTACACAAGCACAATGTATATGAATATAAATACAAGCTTGTATAAAGGGGATGCAAACCAACGGGAAGACAAGGATGACACGGTGATTTTTATCCCGAGGTTCACTTGGTTGCCACCAAGCTAGTCCCTTTGTGTCGACCGCTCACTTGGTGGTTCGGCGGCAAATTGGCATCACCCACCAAGCCCACACGTTGGGCACCACAAGAACCTACCCACAAGTGAGGGTAGCTCAATGACACGCTCAACTAGAGTTGCTCTTCGCGGCTCCCACGGGGCGAGCACGACACCCCTCACAATCACTTCTCCGGAGCACCGCACAATCTTCTTTGCGTGCTTCGACGGAGATCACCACCAAGCCATCTAGGAGGTGGCAACCTCCAAGAGTAACAAGCACCACTGGCTTGCAACTCGATGCAATCTCACAATGCAACGCACTAGAATCACACTCACTCGCAATCGATTCGCACTCTTGCAAGCACAAGTGAGTTAGAGGGCATCCAAGCACTCCTACACAAGCCACATAGGCATGAGGGTGCTCAGCAACTAGCCCAAGGCTGGCCACCACTTGTATTTATAGCCCCAAGGGCTAAAAGAGCCGTTGTCCCTTTACTGGGCAAAACACGCACTGACCGGACTCGCAGGTCATAATGACCGAACACGTAGGTCACAGAGTCTGGTCGCTAGGATGACGCCACGCGTCCCCTCCTTTCGAAGCCGACCGTTGGGCTCCAATGGCTAGCTCTCTCGCGCGCATACTCCTGACCAGACACGCCTAGGTCCAACGACCGAACACACCGAGGCCGAGTCCGGTTACCAACACATCTCTGCACAACTGACCGGTCTCTGCTTTCTCCCTGACTGAACTCGACTCTCCCAGAGTCCGGTCACTTCCAGAGAGGTTCCAGAGAGCTCTTTTGATGACCGGACGCATTAGGTCATCACTGACCGGACTCCCCTAGCGTCTAGTCGCTTCTGCACGCGAAAGAAACACTGACCGGACTCTCTGACCGGACTCGTAGGTACTGACCGGATGCGCAGGTCACAGAGTCCGGTCACAGACCTTTCAACACTCGATCCTATCAATGATGCAAAGTTAGATCACTCGAGTGGCACTAGATGACCGATATGCAAATAAATTTGCCCCTCTTGATAGTATGACCATCTATCCTAAACTCGGTCATCAACTTCTCTACACACCTATGACCGGTGAAATGAAATGCCCTATAGGTTATACCTTTGTCTTATGCATTCCATTCCATCTCCAATGTTGATGCAACACATGCACCAACACGATCAATAATGATATGACTCACTTCATACCATCATGTGACCATATTGGTTTATCGATCTTGACCTTACTTGCTCTTCATCGTTGCGTCGGTCCATCGGCGCCAGGTCTTTGCTCAAGCATCCCGCCACACAGTCCACCGCTTCAAAGCCTCCGACTTGCCCTTCACTCTTGCAACCGGTTCATCAAGCCTAGCCTCTTCTTGATCTTCTTCATGTTAGTCACATGACTCCATGTCATGTCTCATATGCAATGAGCTCCTTCATTACATATTCACCTGTGGACTAATCTCCCGTGTATTATCACATAACCACATATTAGTCCACCAAGGTTGTCACTCAATCACCAAAACCAAACAAGGATCTTTCAATCTCTCCCATTTTGGTAATTGATGACAACTTTACAAAGATATAGAAATTAAGCTCTTTTGGATTTATGTTCCTTGCCCAAGCAATTTTACCATGTGTAAATGATTTTGAACAAGTACCACAAACCTGAATTGGTAGTATTAGCTCCCCCTATATATGTGCTAGAGTGTTTGGTTTGAAGCTCGCACATATGCATAGATAGGAATTATGGGAGAGTAATTACTATCAAATGATGCTAAGGTGTAAAGAATTAACCTTTGATGCGTGATACCAATCGGAGTGCACATTTTACCACCATCCTTAGCACCATGAGTAGCTAGACAACATAAACACTAGAAACCCTGTGAGATCAACATTATAAGCAAGGTTCTAGTTTTTGCTTGAAAAACACAAGTCTAGTTACCATCCTATGCATGCTAGTTATCATATCATCATTCAAGTTCTATAACTAGCACACAACACACAAGCATGCATGTCAAAATTTAAAAACTTATGCAATGCAAGCAAGCACATGAATATGCACATATCAAATGCAACTAATCAAAGTTTATGAGCTTGCTGCCCCTACTTGTGTGCTTTACTTGTCCAAGAATTTTTGATCTATTCACATTCCTCAATGATGCTCCCTCTTTGTCCATTGTCCATGTCCAAATCAACTTCTACTTCTTCCCATGATGCATTTACATATCTTTGTTCCAACTTCTCCCCCTTTGTCATCAATTTCCATAAAAGGTGTGTATCCTATTAATACAAAGGATTGCATTGGGGTAGATGGTTGACACTTGAATCTTGCATTTTTTATGGACACTACCAAATATGTTGGAATGACACCACTTGTAGCCCTTGAGATACCTCATGTAGGATCTTTGACCTTGATACCAATTGGTGGGGCACCTCCCCCTATATCATAGCATGGGTCATCCACTAATCTTGAGCTCTTATGGATGAGGAAGGCATTCTTCACTTGATGATCATTTAAAGTTGAGGATCACTTGTGGAGCCACTTTCTTGTATAATTGATACTAGGTGTATGATTGATTTATCAATAAAGACCATATTGGTTCATCGATCTTGTCCTCACTTGCTCTTCACCGTTGCGTCGGTCCATCGGCGCCAGGTCTTTGCTCAAGCATCCCGCCACGTAGTCTAGCGCTTCAAAGCTTCCGACTTGCCCTTCACTCTTGCAACCGGTCCATCAAGCCAAGCCTCATCTTGTTCTTCTCCACCTTAGTCACATGACTCCATGTCATGTCTCATATGCAATAAGCTCCTTCATTACATATTCACCTGTGGACTAATCTCCTGTGTATTCTCACATAACCACATATTAGTCCACCAAGGTTGTCACTCAATTACCAAAACCAAATAAGGACCTTTCACTTGGGCTTCTTGAAATCCCCCTTAAAGGAAGAAAATATACCTGGAGTAATATGCAAGATGACCCACTCCTAGAACAAATTGACTGGGTATTCGCGTCAACTAATTGTATCTCTGATTACCCCAACACTCTTCGCCTACCGATGGCTAGGCCAACCTCATATCATCTTCCATGTAAAATTCAAATTGGCACCAACATTCCCAAAGCTCAAACTTTGAGATTCGAAAACTTTTGGATTGATCACCTTGGGTTCATGGAAATTGTCAATTCGGTTTGGTCCACAAATGTTAGATCCTCAAACAGTGCCACAACAGTAAGCTCAAAATTCAAGCTTCTCAGAGCTGCCCTAAAAAATGGAGTAAAAAATTGTCTAATCTCTCTAGATTGATCAAGACGTGCAACAACACTTTAGAAGTCCTGGACACTCTTGAAGAGCAAAGGTCTCTTTTCCTTCAAGAGTACAATTTCAGAAGAATTCTTAAAGTTCACATCCTCAAATTGCTTAGCTACAACAAGGATTACTGGAAGAAGAGGTATACTATGAGGTGGACTAGATTGGGTGATGAAG